AGTGTATCAAAGGAACACTTCTAGTTAAAAATATGAGATGACCTATAGGACCAATATTGGTTTCAGTCTTTAGAAAAAGCTTACCGATATATGTTCCGGTCACTGACTTTAGGTCACATGTGTGAAGTTTCTTGTTTCTCATGTATTGCTTTCTACATTAATGGTAATCTAACAACCAAGCTTTATGACAAACGTGATGACTTTAACTTTTCAATCGTCAACTTCCCTTACTTATTCAGCAATATACCTTCATCACCTGCATACGGGGTTTATATCTCTCAGTTGATTCGATACGCAAGAGCATCCTCTATGTATGAACAATTTTCAGAAGGAGGTAAGTTATTGACAAACAAATTGCTGAAACAAGAATATCAGCAGTCTTGTTTAAAGTCATCATTTTGTAAGTTCTATGGTCGATACAATGACCTTGTCAGCAAATACAATTTATCATTAAGTAAAATGCTGACTGACGTTTTTCATACTTATTGTTAGGCCATTATTTACACAGTCACTGAATTGTGTATGGATTTTTCTATTGTTTCCCAGTCGTGACAAGGAGCACACAGCTGGTGTGACTGGTCTGCAGGGGATGCTCACTCCTCCATGGCACCTGATCCCACCTCTGATGTTTTGGAGGTCCGTATTTGCTCTGCTCCTATTTTGTATTTTTTGATGGGCTTTTGAGCTTGAATACTGATTGTTATCTCGATATATTTCATTCTACTCAACTGTGTGTTCATGTGATCCTACCTCAGTATTTACAGAATGATACATCCTTTGTTTGAGGGTCATTCTTGATGTCTGACTGAGTAATGGCAATGGGACATAAAACCTTAACTGACCTTACCACATTCTTTTCTAATCTGAAAAACCTCATGCATTTTTAGCATAACATATCGCCAATGCACACATTTTTCCCGAGGAATGAACTGCATCTACTCTGCATAGAACAGTATCTCTCCCACTGGCACAACAGTACTATTACACGTCATTATGTTCTTGAAAGGCAAACACAGCAATTATTGCTCGGCATGATTTTTTTTCATGACACCTGCAGTATCGAGTAACACAAAGTGAATGATTCATGTCCTCGAACAAAGTGTGCTTACAATGAGGTTTAGTTCCGGTTGATTGCGTTTAGTTAAAGAGAATTTATGATCTGCATTTCCATAGATGTCTTTTATATCAACACCAAACATGCATTTAAGGAAGAAAATATATTAAGTAAAATGCAAAAGCCTGTATTAAAAAATCAAAGGACAAGTGCACTTAAACAATGCTTTATGGGCCCTTTTTCAGTGCCATATTACTTTAGAATGTATTACCAAATTGTTCTCTTTTGGCAATAGTTAAACACAAGTGGACATTTCTAATTAAAATCACATTAAAACATCACCTAAATCAGCATGGATTTGAAACAAATGAATTTTTTTAAATGCCTATAGATACCCCAAATCCGGAAAAGTCGTACCGAACCTATTTTGAGTTTCGTTTATTTAAATCATGGGGAGGAGACATTTAAATCAGACACTTGAACAATCTGATGGTGGATCATTGACAGGCGCGTTTGCCGAATGATACTTCTTGTGCTATTTTACCTGAGAAAAAAATCGAATGAAGTTGTATAGATACCTGTGTCCATAGTGATCAAACTAAGAAATTTGCATGCTTGCATTTGAAATAATACAATAAGTACTAACATTAGTTCCTTTAAATTTTAAAATGAAAAAAAGCGTATTTAGGTGGCTTTCAATACCAGTACCATTGTCTTGCATGAATGTTAAAAATGTTTGACACTTTTATTTATGATGACATTTTAACGACACTAAACTCTCCTAACCATCCCGTGTTCCTAAAACCAAATACATACAAACTTCTCTATGCGGCTTGACTTCGATATAATGATACAAAACGTGGTTATGTTTTACAGTGAGCATCTTTGAGGAATGTTTACCTGGGTAGAACTCACGTGACTACCAGTATTTTAAATAATTTATTCCACGGGTGGGTTCAACATAGGTCATACAGGTAAATAGCTCTTGCTTGTTATAGGAAAAACATTGAACTTTTCATACATTTTTAATATTTTAAGTACAAGCCTAATCATGTACAAATTTCCTTCTTTCACACAAGTTTTATATATGTATAATGCATTTTTTGTCAATCGCACAAGTTTGTACAATGTTAGGCTGACAATAAACAAAAGCTTTGAAATGAATGACCATCCTCGATTTACTATAGAAAATCACGAATGTTGGCTGACCCCTACCACATTGTATGGCTTTGCTCTTTGTATATTCATGAATTTCAGCGATAAAATTTGTTGAATCTTATGGTTTAGATATCAATTAATGATCTGAGATGGAAAATTATGCTTAATATAATTCTTCATTTTTTCACATTTTACCGGGGCCCATAAGTGCACTCGTTCTTTAGTGTTTATACAGGTAAAAAGTTTGAAAAAATAAAAATGTGCCAACAAATGGTTTCGAACCAGGACACTAAAAATGTTCATGGTGAGAGTCCGCGGTCTATCGCTCTGGGCTATGCTGACTATGAGGACATTTGTAATAAATATAAACCAGTATGATAGAAATAGGTTTTCACGTTTTTTTGTAGGTTTTTTTTCTATGAATTTCGACCCTAGGCACCTCTAAAAGAACCTTGTTTTAAATAATTGCTTACTAGATCAAAATCTATCAAAATTTCATAATTTAATTTAGGGGCAGGCAAAGGGTGATTATATTGCATCTATCGGGTATAATTTTCTTATCAGAAAATTGTAGAGATATGCAATGTTAATTAATGACAACATTTATTTTTCCTTTTTGCCTAATACTTTTATGATTTTCACTAATAAATTGATTATTGAAAAAAGCCTTTAATATGACTGCTGATTTTATCTCCATCTGTTAATTTTCAACACCTTTTCTCATGATTATAGTAGATAGAGAACAGATTATGATTTCTAACATTTACTGTTACAGATCATTTTCTTGAGATAGGTGGAACCAACAGTCAAATACACACACTTTTAAGAAAAGTAAAAATCTGGCTCAGGTAAAAAAAAAAAAAAAAAATCATTTACAGTTTTAACAATTAGTAATTTTACCTTAATTAACTGGAAAAATCTTATTTGACGAAATACAGGTCAAGAATGAAGAGTTTAAAGCCTAGTAGGGATTTTGGTCAATCATTACAGGTAATCTGCAGTCCCTCTCGAGAATTTTACACTCATATGGAGACGCCACCACTAGCCAGTGGAAAGCTGCAAATTCTGTCTTATACTCTGCACTCATGGCCATTGAGCAGTGAGGGGTCTTTTTCATGCCAGCACCTACTGTGACATGGGACCTTGGTTTATAAGGTCTCATCCGAAGGACTGGTCTCCATGTCCCACAGTGGGATTCAAACCTGCGACATAAGGATCAACTCCTTACTTCGCGACTCTAGAGCAGATGCTCTAACCATGGCGCCACGCTTGTGACTAGCTCAGTTTTAAAGAAATCATTCAAGATATTTTTTATCAAACTTAATATGCTGATACATATATAATTAGTAAGACCTATTCAACTATTTCAAAAACTTTTGACCTTTCCCATGACCTCACTTTCCTTCAATTTGCATTTTGCATGGTTTTAAAACCATTTAAAATATTGATATCTAAGGCTATGCATCTATACATAATTTGGTGAGAATTTATCATCTATATCCATTTTTTTTAAATTTCAATTTCAATTTTAAAGAAACTTTTCAAGATATTCTCATCAAACTTCATACACTAACACAAAATTTCATGTTGCATTACTATACACTCGGCGGGCATACATGTCCTATGGACATATTTCTAGTGTATTGCTATTTCTGTTGTTTGTTTACTTCCGGTCAGTAAGTGCCCCCTAGGGGCAAGCCCCAGTCCCGTTTTCTTCTCCAGGGTTGCAACAGCGCCCCCTAGAAAAACAAGTTGCACCATCCAATCAAATCATATTTTGTGCTGCTTTATGCCAATGAAATTAAGGCTGGACAGCATATGTATTATATTCTGACCAATGGGGTTGCTGTATTTTCAAATAATTAGGATAGACTTACCACTTCAGCATTCCTTTCATCACTGAAGTGATATACATGGTCAAAATTGACTAACTTTCATTTTTGTGTCAACTGCAGAGCAGAACGACACTTAGAGATCACTTAACCTGGTGTCTGTCTGTCCGTCTGTCACACCTTATATCTCCAAAATTTTGAGAGGCAGGGTTTTGATAATTAGCATTTATATATGTTTTTGAGCTCATGATACTATACTTTGAAACTGTATGAAATTCAGTTACCACACAAACTTATATTTTAATACTATGAAAATACATTGGGATCAGTATTCCACAATGAATCGTGTTGACTGACAAAGTGACAATTAAAAAAAAGACAGTCTGAAATTCCTTTCCTCCGAGGATTGTTGGAAGCACCTACATGTGTATTAATAAAATGATAAATAGTAATTCCTCATAATTTCAATTAAATTATTCATTTGAGGACTGGGGAACCATATTTTCTTTGATTGCCAGATTCTATCCCAGTCTTTTAAATACTTTTGGACCCTTTTTTTCCTTGCAGGCAAATGCTTGAACCTCCATGCTAATATTAAATTAATAGCTGACCACTCTTAGATTTATTTACCTCTTTAATGACGATACCTAGCAGGTGACATATACATTCCTTGAAACACTCTAGTTCCTATTTGATTTTCACTAATATAAAGATTATTGAAAAAAGACTAAGGTGCTCTATAGTGATCAGTCTATTCATTCATCTGTCTGTCAAATACACATATCCCTTGTTCAGAATACAGGTGACTCTAAATACTTCAAACTTTATATTTTTTAATTAGATACATGTAGCTGCTTTGGAACATCTGAAATGTCTATTACATTATCACTAGTTTTACTAGTTTTCTTCATGTAAGTTGAATATATTTTAAACTTTTAAATTTTTATTTTTTCCAGGTAAGAAAGAAATTCAGGAGTTCTTAAATTGCCCTTGGAGTTCTTGGATTGCATCAAACTGCTAAAAGACCTTAACAAAAACAGCGTCTTGAAAATAAAAATGAAAATATTCAGTGAAAAAAAATGATGAAAGAGCCACTAAAAATCTTCAAGCCTTTGAGCTGAAATCTGGAAGTCAATCTGTGGACTTTACTAGTAAGTCATAATTACTAAGTCATCATTTGTGTATAATAAATACACTACACTGTAAACACTTGTTAAAATGTGTATAATTTTTAGATATAATTTGTATCTCATAGACTTCAATAGTTTCATGTAATTTAAGTAATAATGAAAATTTCCTGTTGTCTAGCTAGATTAGAAACTATTATTGTCCAATTTTGGATATTGTGAAATAATTCATCTAGTATGCATACACGTGTGTACACTTACGTGTAAATTAATTGTTATAGCAAATTCAATCGATCATTAAGTTGAATGTTGACTAATGTTTTTTACCAAAATTGTTTACACTGAATTGTTTGTGGATTTTTCCATTTGCCCAATCATGTCAAGGAGCACATGGCAGGAAATGCTTTCTCCTCCATTGCACCTGGTGTTTTTAGAGGTCTGTGTTTGCTCTGCTCTAATTATGTATTGTTTCAATGGACTTTAAAGCTTGATCACTGTTGGTAATCTTCATATTTCATATACTATTAGAGTACTTGAAGAAAACTGTAAAGATTTAACATACAGTATAATGCATGTATATTGCACTTTAAGTACAGTGTATGTGGTTAAGAAATGTTAAATCGTCTCATAGTGCATTGAATTTGTTGAAAATTAGAAAATGTGTTGAAATTTTTTTTGAAATAATGTTAGATTGCAGATTTTTTTAAATCATGCAAGTAAGAAATTGCTAAATATTTTTTAGATTTTCTGGACAGTCTAGATGAGTTCTTACTATATACCTAGCATTGTCATCCCAGTTAAAATTTAAGGAACAAGGTTCATTCCTAAGCTCTACCTGGACAAACTTGCATGGATTAAAGCACATTAACAGATTTACTTCAGATGCTTGACCTGATCTACATTTTCCTCATGTGTTTTTTTGTTTTGTTTGTTGTTTAACATCCCTCTCAAGAATTTTTCATCCATATGGAGATGCCACTACTTGCTGGTGGAGAGCTGCAAAATTTGACCTATACTTTGCACTCAGGGCCTTGAGCAGTAAGGGATCTTTTTTGTGCCCACATCAACTGCTAGGCGGGACCTCGGTTTATATGGTCTAATCTGAAGGATTGGTCCCCACATCCCCAGTGGATTTGAACCTGAGACTTAAGGATTAAATCCTTACTCGCGACTCTAGATTACAAACTCTATCCTTTGCGCCACATGGGGGACTCCACAAGATTATGTGTTTTGAGCAGTCCTATTCTCATGTAATTATAAACTCTATGTTGAACAAACCTGCAAAGATGATGTATGTACATGTAAATGTTTCAGAGTACCAATCCTTGATTTGACTTAGATTTTCTGGATTAATGACCAGTTTTTTAGAGAAGGTTCATTCAAAGTAACAATATACTCTTTGGTGATCAGTAAACATAGATGATGTATCCTGCTTCTGATGCTGGATGTAACATACATTTTCAGGGTTATTGAGCAGTTAAATCTAACCCAGACCAACTTGCATAGATTTTGGATCCAGGTGATATACATTACCAGAGTGTTTGTTGAGTGAGACTTTGCCTTACTAGTAGATAACATTTATAGAAGTGAGCTTTGTATTCTTTGATTAGGTATGTTTTTTCTTTGCTCAGGATATATATACCATCAGTGCCAACTACCATACATTTTATATAACAGATGTTAGTAGCTGTTGTTCAACTGAATATGATAAAACTGTGGATGAAAATAATTTGATTTTTGTACCTTTGAATGTATTGAATTAATTTGTAAAAGCTGTTATGATACAATGTTTGATATTTTATAAAAGTTTTTAGCATATGCAATCAATAAATGTATCAACATTTTTATTTTATTATACTTTTTACCCTGCAAACTTCTTAAAAACAGAATAGTAATGATCCATTTAACTGATACTAGGTTAGTGTCACATTGTACTGGTATATCATGTACACTGAACTGTAAATAAGAAACATCTAAATAGGTAAAATCACAGCATGAATCATTGGATTATGTAAGAAGTGCACTATCTTGTGCTTTGGTATGGTATTAATAATAAGTGTTAAACTATCTTTTTTTTTTCAAATTAACAAAGGATATGCTTGAGTGACTGTATTTTGACTAGCAGTAAAAATAAAATGATTTTTAAGCATTTGAATTATTTTGATTCATGGTCTCTGCAAGTTTAATGATAGCAAATATGTATATTGAACATGGCATCCACATATTGCTATACTGGATGGGGCATAACTTTTACTGAATCTTAATCACAACCTTGAAATTTTATGTAGTACATGTACTCTTGGTTTCAACTGGTCAAATGTATTCTTAAATCAGAAAGAATTTAAACTAATATAGGCATAGGTCAGAACTTCATCAATTAGTTGGAAAGCGAATGCTCTCAGTGACTATAATGTTTAAAAGAAGCTGGGTATAAATAGCAGGAAAAACTACTTGATGTCCACTGTGAACTTTGTGTCCTCAACAAAACAATACGGAGTATACTATACTTGGTCTAAAGAATAATCTGTGTCTGCATTCACTTTTAGGTTAAACTGTTTTGGGCATTGAGAGTTTGTTTGTTGTTTAACGTCCCTCTGGAGAATTTTTCACTCATATGGAGATGCCAACACTTGCCGATGGAGAGCTGCAAATGACCTATGCTCGGCACTCAGGGCCAATGGGCAGTGAGGGATCTTTTTCATGCCAGCATCTACTGCGACACTGGACCTCTGTTTGTACGAAGGACCGGTCTCTACGTCCCACAGTGGGATTCAAACATGTGACAAAAGGATCAACTAACTCCACGACTCTAGAGCATAGGCTCTTTCCACTGCACCACGTGGGCGACAGCATTGAGAGTTAAATGTGGATATCAGAACAAGCTACTCTGGGCTTATACTCTCTATATATTGATTGACTGTATGTTGTTTAACATTCCTCTTAAGATTTTTTCACTCATATGGAGACACCACCACATGCCGGTGGAGATCTGCAAATTTTGTTCTATACTCGGCACTTACGGCCATTGAGCATCGAGGGTTTTTTTCGTGCCAGCACCTACTGCGACACAGGACCTCGATTTATACGGTCTCATCTGAAGGACCGGTCTCCCCATCCCACAGTGGGATTTGAACCTGCGACGTAAGGATCAACTCCTTACTTCGCTACTCTAGAGCAGACGCTCTAACCACTGCGCCACTGGGGCAACTACTCTCTATTTAAGTCACTTGTGCAATGACTTTAGTTTAATTCAAAGTTTTGTACTGATCATGTTGAGTCACATAAGCACAAATATCTTTCTGCTGACCTTGACTTATGACCATCCACAACTATTCTGGTTGGAAACAATATGTTAATTAATGCATAATAAGTGAAATTACTATGAAAGAAAAATGGTCTACTTAAACCACAAGTTATATTTATAAAAAATATACACTGGTCTCCTTAAGTCATATGAGAGAAACATAAAATATTAAGGAGACCATTTTTTTCATATATTTTTAGGAGGCATTTATTATGAAAAAATAAAGCAAGAGTCGACTAAATGGTGTTCTATAGTTCTTTGATCTGGTATTTCTTTTTAGAAAAAAGCAAATTTAAAAAATCTGTATATTGTCTCCTTAAGCCATATATAATGGTCTGGTCTCCCTAGTCCTTAAATCAGAGTTATATATATATATATATATATATATATATATATATATATATATATATATATATATATATATATATATATATATATATATATATATATATATATATATATATATATTCTGGCCCTGTAACTGCTTCATGCAAATTGAGCCATTAAAGTGATAAAGTGATTTCTTCGAGCAACAATTACCGTTCACGGTAGCTCAGTCGGTAGACCACTCGCTTCGTGATCGGGAGGTCGTGAGTTCGAATCTCGGCCGCGACTGAACTAAGTCGATACTGTTTCTTCGCCATGCGCTCCGCACTTTGAAGTGAAAGTTGCGGGTCCTTCGGATGAGATCTTAAAAACCGAGGCCCCGTGTCACGGCAGGCGTTGGTACAATAAAGATCCCTTACTGCTCAATGGCCCTGAGTGCCGAGTAAAGGTCAAAATTTGAAGCCCTTCATCGGTATATGGTGACGTCTCTATATGAGTGAAAAATTCTCGAATGGGACGTAAAACAACATACAATCAATCAATCAATCGAGCAACAATTGTTTTAACATTTTTTTGATATGATACAAGATAGTTGGAAGACTTTCAAAACAGCTCAAATGTAACTATTTGAAGAAATAACTTTTCTTTTAACTTTTTTTTTTCATCTACAAATGCTTATTGGCATGAAAATGAATTGAAAGTTTTTTGTCGTATCTTATAACTGTATCACATGCTATTTACTCAACATACTACAGCTAAATCTTATCTTCATAGTAAATAGAAATACAATGTAAGTATTTTAAAAATGGCAATTATTGTCAGTAGTATGAATATCAATATTTTTTCTAATTGTAAAAATATAGTTGTAGATCAGTTTTCTACTAGAAGATGCACAGCTGATGTTTTTATGTATTCCATAACCATATTTGAGATTTGTAGTTTTCCTGTATATATAATTAACTATATTGATGACGTTTGAAAAAAAGTGCAGTGGTAGGTATTCTTAAACAACATCTGATTTAATATTCCATAAATGATTATGATGATGAACTTTGACAAAAAATGCATCGGTAGGAGAAAATCACCATGTCAATTTAGTTACATTTTTGTGAGCAATCTCAGTTACTTCACTGCTGTTTTAACAACCTAAGGAGCTACGCTTCAAAGCAGTTATTACTGGATAAATATATGAACTGAATTTGCCCACGCCCATTAAATGTATGTAAGAATTACATTAAAAATTTTACAGAACTTGAGTCACTAAATGGAAAGTATTTATCCATAGATTGATTTATATATTTTTATGCTTATTCGACAAGATTTATTGGAAAAGAATGACAGTAAGTTTTGATTTCTATTTTTTTTTTTACATTTATTATCTACATGACTTCAGTGTTATGTTATTAAGCTTAATATGTTTTAGTTCAGAAAAAAAAAATTGCATGCGTAAGTGTCAGTTAACATTCGGAAGTTTACCTACTTCTACGAGGGACACGTTGTCTGTAAAGTCGTCGTCGTTATTTGATTTTTCAGGCTTTTCAGTCTGGTTCTGGCCTTGAAAATAAATTTTTCAGCACAATGTGAGTGAGTCATGGACTATACACACAGT